GGGGCGGGTGCTGGCGGGCGGCGGCCAGCGCCGCGGCCCGCGCGGCGCCGGGGCAGGGGGGGGGCTGCGGGCTGCGGGGCGGGGGCGGGCTGGGGCCCCTCGAGGGACTTTGCGCGGTTTCCCGTGCAGAAGTGCGCAGGGGCGGGGCTGTGGCTGTCTGCGTGTGCAGCCCGCGGCGCGTAGCGGAGCCCCTGGAAAGCTGGACTCGAGCGGACGCGCAGCGGCAGCTGGACTTGGCCCTGGGGTCCGTATGGCGGACTTAGTTGCAGCGAAAGTGTACATGTCTCAGCACTCCGCGCTCTGCGGCGTAGCCAGTGAGAGTCAGCAGCTGTGCGAGGCGCAGCTGCAGCCTCTGTCTTCGACTCTTAACGAACTTCCCCGCGGCCCCAGCCGCCCTCTTGACCCGCTGCCCGAGAGGGGTGGCTGAAACCCCAGTCCTCCCTCCAGTCTGGTCTGCTCTCTAGAGGAGGTGAGGGCGCCTCCGAACCCCAAACCCCAAACCCTAAACCCTAAACCCTAAACCCTAAACCCGGAGCGCTTTCCAGTGGTTTCGGCCCTGCCGCCGTTTGCTGCGAGCTGGCCCGCCGCTGCTGCTGCGCTGCCGCTCCCGGGAACTCCGAAGGCAGTCTGTAGAGCGAGTGGAAGGGGGGCTTAGGGAGTTTCACTTTGTTGCTTTTTTGCTTCTTTTCTTGTTTTTTCTCTTTTGCTGAACTACAGCAGCCCGCTTCTACCTTTTCGCCCTCATGAATGGCTACGGTGAAGGTCTCCGCGGCCAAATAATTGAGGTCTGGGCGCACAATCTCGGTGGGTGTTCTTTTCAGAATATTCCATTTCTTAGTTTGCTGAAAAGTGGCTTTTGAAGAGAAGATCTCTGAGATCTGGGTCTAGGGTTGTGAATGGTGAAACGGGGTGCTGCTCGGATCGTGTCTGTTTTCGTTGCGCCTCTGCATCGCTTGCCCGTTTATTTCTTTTTAAAAATACATATTTAAATAACTTTTTAATTTCCGGAATTCAATTTCGGTTTGCGTCTGCAGAGGAGGAGCTCGACCGCATCCGGGATGTGGTCGAGCGCTATCCATACATCGCCCTGGTGAGAATGCGAACACTTAGCCGTTCGCGCATCTTATTAAGCCTTTAATTTGCTCAATATAAAGAATTAATTGCTGCAGATAATGTAGTTTTACAAAAGGGAAGCAGCAGCTGCAGCCGGTGTACTGTATGGTCTGCATGGCCAGCAGTTCGCATATTGAACAAGGCGATCCGTGGTGTTTTACCCACGTAGCCGTTCCCAAGCGTTTTGCGTTTTTATTCTAGAGTTTTGTTTTGACACTGAGTCTCGAAGAAGACCCGGAGGCCGGGGTTTAGGGGCGTTCGGTTGCTGCGTTGCTGCTGCCGGCGCGCAGGACACGGAGTTTCCCGGGATTGTGGCGCGGCCCACGTCGAACGCGTTGGACTACAACTACCGGACTGTGAAGTACAATGTAGATCTGTTGAAAGTGATTCAGTTGGGCCTGACGTTTGCGGACAGCCGGGGGCGGCTGGCGGAGGGAACTTGCACGTGGCAGTTCAACTTTCGCTTCGACTTGAACGAAGACATGTACGCGCAGAACAGCATAGACTTCTTGAAGCAGAGCGGCATTGACTTCGACAAGCAGCAGAAAAAAGGCGTGGAAGTGCATGACTTCGGCGAGTTGATCATGAACAGCGGGTTGGTGATGAACGAGGATGTGAAGTGGATCTCGTTTCACGGCTGTTACGACTTCGGCTACTTGTTGAAGCTGCTGACTTGCGAGGCTTTGCCGGAGTCGGAAAATGCTTTTTTCGAGCTGGTTCAGGACTTCTTTCCCTCTCTTTACGACATAAAGTTTCTTCTTCGAGACCTGCCGAACTTCAACCTCAGCCAGGGAAGCAGTTTGCAAAAAGTCAGCGAACAGCTCAACGTGCAGCGCGTGGGGCCCCAACACCAAGCAGGCAGCGACAGCCTGGTGACTTGTCGCACATTTTTTAATCTTGTTGAATCTTATTTTGATGGCAAGATAGACGAAGCCAAGTTTTCGGGGGTCATCTACGGGCTGGGGGCCACAGCGCACAAGAGGCACAGGGGCCCCCACGGGGCCCTCACTTCCGCCCCCTCGCTCGACTTGGGGGGCCCCATCCACGCGGGGGACTTGAAGCAGCAGCAAGACAGCAGCAGCAGCAGCACAGACATGATGATGGGGGGCCCCGGCGCAATGAGCCGCTACGTCAGCGCGGGCCCCGGCAGCCGCTTGGGTTCGCATCCGCAGCAGCAGCAGCAGCAGGGCCCCTGGGGCTCCATGGGCCGGGTGAGCAGCGGGGTAGTGGGCAGCTTGCGGCAGCAGCAGCAGCAGCAGCAGCACTCGCAGGCGCTGCTGGGCATCCCCGGCGCTGCCATCGCAGCAGCAGACAGCAGCAGCTCCGTCAACGGCGACCGACTCAGGGGGGCCCCCGGGGGCCCCCATGCAGCCATTATGCCAGGTAATGGTGGCTCAAGAGGGTTTGGCTCTGAGTTGCACCGCACGGGAAGTGCCCCCCCGGCGCCGCTGCTGTGCAGCAGCAGCGGCGGCCGTGTCTTGCCAGCAGCAGCAGCAGCAGCAGCAGGAGGTTTGGCTGTGGCGGGCCGCCACGGGAATGGGGAGCAGCAGCAGCGGGTTGGCGTGGGGGGCCCTGCTGCTGGGGCCCTTGTTTTTGAGGGGACAGGAGGTGCAGCAGGGGCCCCCCGGAGGCCCTGAGCCCTTCTTCCCATCCCGGGACCCCATCTCCGTTCGCTGCAGCAGCGTCAGCGGAGGGCGGCTGCTGCAGCCGCTGCTGCAGCTGCTGCTGCTGCTGCTGCAGCTGCTGCAGCAGCTGCTGCTGCGCTGCGCACCCCGCGGGGGGCCCGCGCCTTGGCGCTGCAGCGGGGGCGTTTGTATGTCTTTGGGGCCGCAAACAGGCAAGAGGGAGACAAGCAAGCTGTCGCTGCTGCCACCTCTGCATGCGCTGCGAATCTAGCAGCAGCAGCAGCAGCAGAAGTCGCAGCAGCAGCAACAGCTGCAGCAGTGCCACTCGTTGAATGGGCCGAGGGCTCCATCTGCAGAGACAAACTGCTGGGGGCCCTGGCCAGCTGCTTCAGCAACCCTGCGAGCTAAGGCTGGGGCCCCCTTGGGGGGGGGCCCCCCAGGGGGGCCCCCCAGGGGGGCCCCCGCTGAGGGGGGTTAAGGTTTGGGGGGCGGGGGGCCCCTGGGGGCCCCTAGGGAACCCCCGATGCGGAATTGCATGTCGGGGGCCCCGACGAAGGGAGGGGGCTCATCATCGACTTCTTGACCGTAGGAGGTACACTCTGGTTGTTGTTCTACCTAATAATAGCGTTTCTATGAGTTGCTGCTGCTGCTCCTGCTGCTGCTGCTGCTGCTGCTGCTGTTGCTGCTGCAGCAGCAGCGGGAACTTGCGCGTTTAGAGGGATCGTTGTAGCCACTTTTTAGTGTAGTGAGCACAGAGCCAGAAGCCCCTGCGGGGAGCTGCAGCACTAAAAGGCCTGTGGGGCCCCTTGCAGCTTTTTGGCTAAAATAGAAAATGCAGATTATTAAAAAGAGGCCCGGACTACTTGTTCAACTTGTTGCAGCGGCCAGGTGTACGTACACCGCAGGGCCTGCTGATGTGCAAGAACTTGCAGCAGACGGACTGCAGCAAATCACATCCAGAGTCTGTTTTGCTGCTGCTGAAAAGTGCCGTGCTGCTCTCCAAGCTGCAGCAAAGAAGCTTTTGCTGCTCTCCGAGCAGCAAAAGCTGCTCTTCGAGCAGCAAAAGCTGCTCTTCGAGCAGCAAATAAGGTTCTGCTGCTTGCTGCGGGGCTTCGGGGAGAGCAGGAAGACAGCAGCAGCCGTCAGGGGTTTCTGAGGAGTCTTCAGAAGCTGCAGCTCTTCTTTTTGCATTGCTAAATATATTAGGATAAAATTAATTATTTTATTATATTTATTAATTTTCTGTTTAAGACAATGCCACGCCTCAGGCAAATCTGGGTGTGTTGTGGATGCGGAGGCACGAGCTCTATGACTGTGTGGCTCTGCTGCAGATATTTTGATCTTTTTGATTTTTAAAATGGTGAAATTCAACGAAATAATTCAGAGGAAGGCTCTCAGCAGCAGCAGCACTTCTTGCCACTGCTGTTGCTGCTGCTGCTGCTGCTGCTGCTGCTGGCCACGCTGCTCTGCTGCTGAAGTGACTCGGTAGCTGCTGTGGCGGAAGAACCGGCTTGCGGGGGGAGTTATTCCTGCCGCATTTGCGTTTAGAATTGCTGAATGGATAATTAAAAAATAATAAATAAGTTAAATTTACAATAAAAAGACCAAATCGCCGGAAGTTGAAGGCTCAAGCGCGGCACATGCTGTGGCAGCCGGAGGTCTGCTGGTGATGGCTGCGGACCACCGGTCACGGCGGAGTGTCTGGACAGCGCAGCTGGGAAGTGGACTTGTTTGAGGTTTTGATTTCTTTTTTCATCAGAAAAGAACTAAAATGAACATTTGGATGGCTAAATAGCAGGCTTTTTAGCGAGCAAGCCGCAGCCTACATTAGCGGCGCCAGCCCGGGCTTGCTGCCTGAGCACTTGTGCGTGGAATGACTCCGTTTTCCCTTCTTTCTTCTTTATTCCTTTCTTCTTGAACCTCCTCAGAGAGGACAAAGGCCAGGAAAGGCAGCAGTTGGAGCCGCTGGCCAGTTTCAGCGCTTCAGCGGCATGGGGGGCCCCCTTGCTGGCCGGGCGCCTCTCGGCATTGAACTCTCGGCCCCAGGGGCCCCCCCGGGGGCCCCCCCTTGCGGGGAGGACCCGGAGGCCCCTGGGTTGCTGCCGGGGGAGCTGGGGGCCCCCCTGTTGGCGGATGGGCAGCCACTTTCTCCGTCGGAGAGCGAGCCTTCGGATGGTCAAAATGGTTTCTTTTTCGAGGCCCCCCGGGACATTGAGGGGGGTTTTCAAGAGGGGAGTGTGTCTGGTTTGCGGGGGGCCCTCGGGAGGTTCTCGGAGGGCCTCAAGAGCTTCTTAATGCGGTATGTGGGGCCCCGGGGGCCCCCCTCGTTGGTGCGGCCGCTTCTGGGGCCCCCGCGGGGCGGGGGCCCCTCTGGGGGCTGGGGCGCGGGCCCGCGGAGCTGGCTGGCTCCGGAGACGCAGCAGATATGGGGCCCCTGCGGAGGGGGCCCCCCGGGGGCCCCTTTGGGGGCCCCGTTGGGGGCCCCGTTGGGGGCCCCCCCGCGTGCTGAGGGGGCCCCCTGGGGGCCCCCCGGGTCTGTGTCGGGGCGGCGGCGGCGGCGCGGCGAGGCGCGGAGCTCGAGCGGCAGCCCGGCGCGAAGCGCAGCCAAGGAGGAGGCGGGAGGCGCAGCAGCAGCAGCAGCAGCAGCAGCAGCAGCAGCAGCAGCAAACTGGGACGCAGTGCCGGACTTGGACCGGTTTGTGGGGGGCATTTACACCTACTGGGCCGAGGGGGGCCTCTGCGCTATGCTGTGCTCCCACGGGGCCCAGCTGGTGGTGCTGGGCTTCACAGTTTACTTCAGTTGGTTTTTGCTGATGTTTGTGAACTGGGAAGGAATCCTTGCATGCAAAAGCCCCGATGCATGCGCTTTGGAGCCCCTGCTGCTGGCCTCTCCGTGGGCCCCCTGGGGCCCCCGCCAGACCCTCTGTACCCTCTACGTTTTGTCTTTGACTTTTTTGGTTTTGTTTTCTCTTTTTTCCGCTTTTTATAAATGCAGAGACGCCGCGGCGCTGCGGCTCTACTTCCGCTCCCGGCTGTACATACACTGCGACAGCGCGCTGCAGCTCATGGGCTGGCCCGAAGTTGCTGCGCTGCTGCTGCAGGCGCAGCAGCAGCACCCCTTTTGTCTTGTGAAGCAGCACTTGTCAGTGCTGGACTTAGTTGCAGTAATAATGAGAAAAGACAATTATGTGATAGCTCTCACCAACAAGGAGGTGCTGGCCCGCGCGCTTCCGGTGTACGTACACCCCAAACTCCTCTACACCCGCGTGCTTCTCTGGAGTCTCCGCACTGCCATTTTTTTTAATCTCTTCGACAAAAAACAAAGACTCAACCGCCAACTCTTCACCCGCAGGGCACCCAGAGGGTAACCACTCCTGCTGCTGCTGCTGCTGCTGCTGCTGCGGGCTCCTGCTGCTGTGCTTTGCTGCTGCTGTGGTTGGCTGCAGCTGCTGCTGTGGCTTGCTGCTGCTGCTGCTGCTGCTGCTGCTGCGGCTGTCGGCTGCTGTTGCTGCTGCTGTGGGCTGCTGCTGCTGCTGCGGTGTGGTGCAGATGCGGTGTGCTGCAGATGCGGTTTGCTGCTGCTGCGGCTCGCTGCTGCTGTGGTTTGCTGCTGCTGCAGTTTGCTAAAGTGCCTCCTCATGATCAAGTTGTCTGTGTCTCCTTTTGTCCCTCTGCCCCCTTTTATCTATTTGTTTATTTGTTTGTTTTCTTTTATTTGTTTGTCTCTTTTTTATTTGTCCCTCTCCTTTTATTTATTTGTCGGTCTCCTTTTATGCATTTGTCTCTCTTATTTATTTGTTTCTCTTTTTATTTGTTTATCTCTTTTTATTTGTCTATCTCTGTTTATTTATTTATCCTCTTTTATTTGTTTATCTCTGTATTTTTTCATCTTCTTTTATTTACTCATCTCTTTTTACTTCTTTATCTTTTTTTACTTATTTATCTTTTTTTAATTTATTTATCTCTTTTTATTTATTTATCTTCTTTTATTTGTTTGTCTCATCTTATTCTTCTGTCTCCTCGTGTTTTTCTGTCTCCTTTTGTTTATTTGTCTTTCCTTCTATTCATTTATTTGTCTCCTTTTTTATTTATTTGTCTTCTTTTATTTGCTTATCTCCTTTTATTCTTTTGTTTGTCTCCTTTTATTTATTTGTTTTTCATCTTTTTTGTTTGCCTGTCTTATTTATTTGTCTTTCCTCCTGTTTATTTATTTTCCTCCTCTTATTTACTTATCTCTATTTATTTATTTATCTCTTTTACTTTTTTATCTTTTTTTGATTTATTTATCTCCTTTAATTCTTCCTGTCTCCTCACGTTCCCTCTTTGTCTCACCTTTTATTTATTTGTCTCTTTTTATTTATTTATCTCCTTTTGAAATTTATTTGTCTCCTTTTATTTATTCGTCTTCTTTTATTTATTTGTATTTCCTTTATTTTTTAAATTTGTTCTTTTTCCGAAAAATGCATTTTCCCAGTTGGCCCTTAATACTTTGAGTTTGCGGTTGGCCTTGTTGCTGCTGCTCATGTTGCTGTCGTTGGTGCTGTCGCCATTGCTGCTGCTGCTGTCGTTGCTGCCGTCTGGCGCTGCCAACCCTTGCTGCGTCGTTCATCCCGGAGGCAAGCGCTGCTGCTGCTGCTGCTGTTGCTGCTGCTGCTGCTGCTGCTGCTGCAGACATGTCTGCTGCAGTGCCGCTGCGGCAGCAGCACTCGCCGCTGCAGCTGTACCAGCACTGCATGCGGCTGGTCTCCTTCACTCACTTTCTGCCAGCTTCTTGGATGTCTGCTTCTTGGAAAGTTTCATTTATTTCTCCTCTTTTGGGGGACCCTGAGGAGGAGGGGGCCCCAGGTGGGCCCCCCTTCAGCAGCAGCAGCAGCGCGCTGCCTCCCGAGCCCAGCCGCAGCAGCAGCAGCAGCAGCAGGGCTGCGGCGGCCGCGGCAGGAAGGCAGCAGCAGCGGCGCGCCGGCCACCCCCGGCAGCAGCACCCCGCGCACGTTCAGCAGCAGCAGCAGCAGCAGCAGCAGGAGCAGCAGCAGCAGGAGCAGGAGCAGCGCCGGCGCGGGGCGCGGAGCCGCAGCGGCGCGCCGCCCGCCGCGACCCCCCGCAGCAGCAGCAGCAGCAGCAGCAGCAGCAGCAGCAGCAGCAGCAGCACGTTTCTGACCCCCTCGTTCCTGGGCTGCGAGTCCGCGCAGCACGGCGCGTTCCACTCGGTGTCTGCGCAGCACCGGCGGGCCATGAGCGACCTCTGCAGCGGTCTGTACAGCCTGCGGCTTGCATGCATGTTGGACGAACTTGCTGCTGTTTTGTTGGCGCCATTTCTTTTTTGTTTGTGTCTTCCTGCTGCTGCTGACGACATTTGCGACTGCATCTTTGCATGCACTGTGGCCACTCCTTTCGGGGACCTTTGCTGCTTCTCCGGCCTCGACGTTGCTGCTTACGGCTCCCCGGACTACTCCCCCCCGGCCTTCCTCCTCCAGCAGCAGCAGCAGCAGCAGCAGCAGCAGCAGCAGCAGCAGCAGCAGCGGCGGAGGCGAAGGCGGGGGCGCCGGGGCGAGGACGGGGGCCCCGCGGCCTCGGGGGGGGCCTCGCCGTCGGGGCCCAGCGAGGACGAGGACTCGTGGGGGCCCCCCTGGGGGGGCCCCCAGGGGGCCCCCGGGGAGGGGCCCCAGTCGGAGGGGGGGCCCCCAGGGGGGCCCCCAGGGGGGCCCCCAGGGGCGGCCCAAGCCAGCAGGTGGAAGCACCTCGCACCCACGGCCGGGGGGGCCCCCGGGGGGCCCCCCTGCGTGCCGCTGCTGCAGCGGTTCATGCCAGCAAATGGGAAGTTGGAAAAAAGTGCTCTTTCTTTTCTTTTGACTTATCGAATTGCTGCTCCTCATGATGACACTTCTCCTCTTTGGTCTGTCTTGGCTTCGAGAAAGATCACCAGGGCCCTCACGGCTGCCTCCGCCAAGCGTGAGCTCCACGCTGCTGCTGCTGCTGCTGCTGCTGCTGCTGCTGCTGCTGCTGCTGCTGCTGGAGCTGCTGGAGCTGTTGGTGTGCTGCTGCTGTTGCTTTTGCTGCTGCTGGTGTTGCTGCGGTTGCTGCTGCTGTTGCTGGTGCTGCGGTCGCTGCTCTGCTGCTGCTGCTGCTGACTATCTGTGGTTGCTGCTGCTGCTGCTGCTGCAACGATCAGCCTTTCTCTTTATTCCCCCCTTTTTACGTGCTGCTTTGTTTATTTCTATCTCCAAGTTCCTTTGCTGCTGCGGCCACTCGTCACTTCGTTTGCTTCCTGCTGCAGTGTCTGCCTACCCTGTCTTCTTTCTGCTGCTGTCTTTGTCTGCTGCTGCTTTGCTGCTCTTTCTCGCTTGCTGCTTTGCTGCTGCAGCCCCTCTTTGCTGCTGCGCTCTGCACTGTCTCCTGTCTCCTCCTAGAGCCTTGCGCACACCCTTCAGAGCTGCTGCTGCTGCTGCTGCTGCTGCTGTGGGGCTGCTGCTGTCTGCTGCAGACGTGGGCGCTGGGGGGGCCCCCTGCCTGCTGGGGGGCCCCCTGCTGAGCCCCGGCTCGGGGGCCCCCGTGGAGCCCATGATCAACTGGGGGGCCCCCCCTTCTGCTGTTTCTCTCTTGGCAGGACTTGAGGCCTTTCAAGAATATTTGCTGCAGCAGCAGCCCTTTCTGCTGCAGGAGCTGCCGGTGTTTTTGACGCAGCTGCGGCGCGGCGTGCCGGGGCCCCCGGGGCACGGCGCTGCTGCTGCTGCTGCTGCTGCTGCTGCTGCGCCGTGGGGGCCCCTGCATGCAGCCTGTGGGCCCCGCCCCATCACTGATGAGGAAAAAGGGGCTTATTTCTTTTGGCTCGAAAAGCTTTATGAGTTCAATTCCGGCAGAGTCCTTTTTGCAACAAACCAACTCAACTTCTTCACGAGGGCCCTTTTCAAACAAACCCTCACCCCACAGGCCACCAGCAGCAGCAGCAGCAGCAGGGGGGGCCCCCTGGACCCTGCGGGCACAGCGCGTCGGGGGGCCCCCCTGGGGGCCCTCCCGGGGGGCCCCCCGGGGGCCCCTTGGGGGCCCCCAGCCGCCATGCCCAGAGGGTACGGACACCACGCAGACAAACGCCGCAGCCACAGAAGGAGACGCAGCAACGACTACCGCCGCCGCAGCAGCAGCAGCAGCAGCAGCTACGGCAGCAACAGCAGCGGCAGCAGCAGCAGCAGCAGCAGTGACCAGGACGCCCCAAACTACCGCGCGCCCAGGATAATTGGGAAGCAGCTGCAGCAAAGACAAAGTGGCCAGAGGCTGCTGCACCGGAGCCACCAGCGGCGGGCGGAGCTGCCGCTGCAGCACCAACTGCAGCTGCAGCAGCAGCAGCAGCTGCAGCAGCAGCTGCAGCAGCAGCAGCAGCACCACAGCCACAGGCACTCCGGCTCCCGCATGCAGCAGTACCTCCCAGGGGGGCCCCCAGAGGCCTCTGGGCCCCACACAGCCCATTCCCAGTACCCTGGGGACTCCGCACTGACGGTCACTCAGGGGGGCCCCTTCGAGCTCCCGCAGCACCTGCAGCAGCAGCACATGCAGCAGCAGCTGCAGCAGCAGCAGCACAAGCTGCAGCAGCAGCAGCAAGCCTTTGGGGCCCTTTGTTCCCGATCTGCTGAAGGCCAAATGCCCTTCGGGATCCACAGCGACTTAGCAGCAGAGGGGCCCCCCAACTCACCCCACCAGGGGCCCCACCTGTCCCCGTCGGACAGCAGCAGCAGCAGCAGCAGCAGCAGCAGCAGCAACAGATACCCGTATTCGTCCTCTTCCCCAGCCCCAAACCAGCCACTTTCACTCCAGCAGCAAATGCTGCTGCAGCGGCTCCTGCACCAGCAGCAGCTGATGCAGCAGCAGCACCAGCAGCAGCTGCAGCAGCATCTGCACGAACGGCTGCAGCAGCAGCTCCTACACCAAGAACAGTCTTGCGGAGATGAGATATTTGAAGGAGACGACGATGAGGAGCTTCTCAGTATACTGCAGCAGCAGCAGCAGCAGCAGCTGCAGCAGCAGCAGCAGCAGCAGCAGCAGCACGAGGACTCAGGCATCCTTCGCGGCCTTCAGCAGCACTCGCAGCCACGCCCAAGCCACCGCCACGTTTCGGAGCAAGAGCACCTCTACCACCTGCAGCAGCAACAGCAACTGCAGCAGCAGCAGCTGCAGCAGCAAAGGCTGCTGCAACAACAGTTGCTGCAGCAGCACCAGCCCTTGCATCCACAAGAAGAAGACCCTTCACAGTGGGACTAAGAGGCAACCACTGGCTAGAACCTGCTGCTGCCGCTGCTGCTGCTGCTGCTGCTGCTGCCGCTGCTGCTGCTGCTGCTGCTGCTGCGGGAGCAGCAACAGCAGCAGCAGCTGCAGCAGCAGCAGCAGCAGCAGCATGATAAATATGGACAAAAGTACACGAGCCATGGCGCGTCCAGAGGACGGCCTGCTGCTCTCCAACGGCTGAGTTTAATGCGAAGGCCTTGCGGCCTCACCTGCAGAGGCAGCAGCAGCAGCCGCAGCAGCAGCTGCAGAAGCAGCTGCAGCAACAGCTGCAGCAGCAACTGCAGCAGCAACTGCAGCAGCACTTCAGGCATCAGCAGCAGCAGCAGCATCTTAAGAGAGAGTTGAGGGGCCCTTCGCCACCACTGAGGCTCGGGGCGGCTCAAGTCACTGCTGCTGCCTTTGCTTCTTCCTCTGCAGCTTCTGCTGCTGCTCTGCTGTTGCTTCTGCTGCAGCTACTGCTGCAGCTTCTGCTGCAGCTTCTGCTGCAGCTACTGCTGCAGCTACTGCTGCAGCTTCTGCTGCAGCTTCTGCTGCTGCTTCTGCTGCAGCTCTTGCTGTGGCTACTGATGCAGCTGCAGATGCAGGCACTGCTGTAGCTCCTGCTGCTGGTACTGCTTTAGCTACTGCTGCAGCCACTGCAGCAGCTGCTGCTGCGGCTACTGCTGCTGCAGCTACTGCTGCTGCAGCTACTGCTGCTGCAGCTACTGCTGCTGCAGCTACTGCTGCTGCAGCAGGTGCTGGCAGCAGTGGCGTGGCTTTAGCACACTTAACGCAGGGGGCTAGTGGCTGCGGCATTGTTAAAAGAGACAAAATGCAGTTAACAGTTGAGCGCCTCCCGGGGCCCCCAAGGGGCCCCCTAGGGCCCCCTTGGGGGCCCCCTAAGGGCCCCCTGGGGGCCCCCTAGAGGTTTCTTAGGGGCCCCCTGGGGGCCCCTTAGGGGCCCCCCTAAAGGAAAGAAAAAGGAGGCAGCTTCGTGAACCGCCTACAATACTTTTTCGACCGAGACATTGCCACGTGGTGCAGCAGCAGCAGTAGCTGCTGCTGCTGCTGCTGCTGCTGCCGGTGCAGCGACAGCAGCAGCAGCTGCCGCTGTAGCAGGAGAGCAGCAGCAGACACAAAGCACTGGTGAGCAGCTTCTGCTGCTGCAGCAAAAGGAGACGCACTGGGGAAAACCCAGGAGGCAGCACGGAGATACTCAAGAGAGACAGAGACAGTTAACAGCAGCAGCAGCAGCAGCAGCAGCAGCAGAGTCAGGCAGCAGCAGCAGCGGCACAGGAAGAAACAACAGAAGCAACACAGAGAGAGGCAGCGACAGCATCACAGAGACAGACAGCAGCAGAAGACACTGCTGCTGCTGCTGCTGTTGCTGCTGCTGCTGCTGCTGTTGCTGCTGCTGCTGCTGTTGCTGCTGCTGCTGCTGCTGTTGCTGCTGTTGCTGCTGCTGCTGCTGCCTCAGGCAGCCGCGAGAGAAACTGGAGACGAAGATGCACGAGGCCACTGCAGACTTCTGCAGCAAGGCTGTTGTCCCCAGATGCAGCAGCAGCACTGCTGCTGCTGCTATAACTGCTGCAGCTGCAGCAGCAGAACTGCTGCTGCTGCTGCTGCTGCTGCTGCTGCTGCAGTCTTCCCTAGATGCGTCAGCAATTTCGCCTTCCTCGGATTATTCAGAAACGAAAGACAAAAGGGACAAAGAGACGCAAAAGGGACAAATAGAAAAGCAAAAAAGAAGCAAAAGAGACAAAAGAAAGAAAAGAAAAAACAAAAAGCTACGTTTGTGCTGCTGCTGGCATTTCGTCGCTGCTGCTGCCCGTTTTGTATCTGCGGCGGAACTCCTCGTAAGCAGCAACCACGTGGGGGGGCACAGACCGCCTGCAGCAGCACACACAGTCAGCAGCAACGAACGACTGCTGCTGCTGCTGCTGCAGCAGCTGCAGCAGCAGCAGCTGCTGCAGCAGCAGCAGCTGCTGCTGCTGCTGGCTCCGGGTGCTCTGCAGCCGCTCTGGCAGCAGGGCTGCTGCTGCGGTTGCTGCTGCTACTGCTGCTGCTACTACTGTTACTGCCGACGCCACCGCTGCTGCTACTGCTACTGCTACTGCTGCTGCTGCTGCTGCTGCTGCTGCTGCTGCTGAAGTACCTTGCGTCTTTGGCTGCGAGGTCGAAGTGCCTTTTGGAAAGTTCCTTCAAAGGACTTTTTCCTTTTTCTTCTCTTTCAATACTTTCTCTAATTGCAAACTTCGCCGCCCGCTGACACAGCCCCGTCAAATCCGCTCCTGAAGCAAAGACACACAGCCACCTGCCAGCTGCTGCTGCCGCTGCTGCTGCTGCTGCTGCTGCTGTTGCTGTTGCTGCTACTAGTTTTGCCACTTCTGCTGCAGCGGCTGCTGCAGCGGGTGCGGCTGCTGCTGCTGCTGCTACGCTGCTGCTGCTGCAGCAGCTGCTTCTGCTGCTGCTGCTGCAGCAGCTGCTTCTGCTGCTGCTGCTGCAGCAGCTGCTCCTGCTGCTGCTGCTTCAGCAGCTGCTTCTGCTGCTGCTGCTGCTGCGGGTCACCTGAGAAGCCGTCAGTGAGGGTGGCGAGTTTGTTGATGTCGACATCAGCAGCAATTGGAGTTCTTTTTAAATTTGCTTTTAAAATACTTTCTCGACTTTTCAAATCCGGCAAAGGAATGTACAGCAGCTGGTCAAGACGCCCCGGGCGAGTCACCGCAGGGTCCAGGATGTCCGGCCTGCGCGCCCCAAACCCTAAACCCTAAACCCTAAACCCTAAACCCTAAACCCTAAACCCTAGGCCTTTGAGCCTGGGCTGGGGGCCGGCGTGGGCTGCAGTGCGGAGCCTGCGAAACGGCGGTTTCAAACCCCCTGCCTGTGCCGCTTCAGCCTGCTGCTGCTGCTGCTGCTGCAGCTGCAGCTGCTGCAGCTGCTGCTGCTGCTGCTGCTGCTGGGGTACCTGTTGGTGGCTCCAATGATGAAGATTTGCTTCTGCTTTCCAATTCCATCTATCTCCGTCAGTATTTGATTTATGACGCGGTCTGAAGCCTCGCTTCCAGACCCTCCTGCAGCAAAACACTTCACCATTTGCTGCTTCCTTGAGAGCCTGCTGCAGCTGCTGCGGCTTGTTTCGCGAGCCCAGCTCAAGGTGCTGCAGCAGCAGCACTTTGGCTCTGTTGGAATAACACGAATTCAGCCCGCGCTAATATTTAATGAATGGCATTGATTTGATGGCATTTATTAAAATGGCATTAAATTAAATGGCAATTGTTTAATGGCGTTTATTTAAATGGCATTAAAATAAAATGCATGCATTTAATGGCATTTATTTGAATGGCAGTTATTTAATGGCATTCATCTAATGGCATTTATTTAAATGGCATTTGTCGAAATGGCATTTATTCAAATGCCATTAAATTAAATGGCATTTGTTTAAACGGCATTTATTCTAGTGGCATTTAATTAAATAGAATTTGATTTAGTAGCATGCATTTAAATGGCATTAAGTTAGATGGCATTTGTTTAAATGACATTTAATTGGATGGAATTTGATTTAATGGCATTTGTTAAGCATTATTAAATGGCATTTATTAAATGGCATTTATTAAATGGCATTTATTAAATGGCATTTATTAAATGGCATTTCTTAAATGGCATTTATTAAATGGCATTTATTAAATGGCTTTTAATTAAAATGTGTCTGAGCGCCGCCGTATTTTGCTGCTGCTGTAAGGAGACAAAGATTTCAATAATATCTGTCTTTATTTCTGTCTCCTCTTATCTCTATTTCTGTTCCTTTTTGTTTCATTTTATCTCTTTTTCTGTCCCCTTTTTGGTTCTTTCTATAACCTTTTTTGTCTCCTTTTGTGTCTGTATTTGTCCTCAATTGCCTTTTTATTTGTCCCCTTTTGTCCTTTTATTCGTCTCCTTTTGTCTTTCTTTCTGTATCTTTTTGTTTTTTTTATCTCTTTTTGTTTTCTATATATCTGTTTTTATCTCTTCTTCCACCCCTCCTTCACTTCTTCATCTATCTTTTATTTCCTTCAAATTTCTCCATTATTTCTTTTGAATTTGTTTTTTATTTATTTCTAATTACTTTTATTTATTATTTTTTTTCACTTTTTGTGTTTTTGCGTCTGCTGGAGTTTGTCTCACCGCCTCCGCTGCCTCTGGTTTTTGCAATTGAATCAATTTCGTCGAAAAAGATAATGCAAGGAGCAGCAGCTCTTTGAACAAACAAACAAAACCCAATAATCAGCTCTTTAGCAGCAGCAGCAGCAGCAGCAGCAGCAGCAGCAGCAGGAGCGACAGCGGAAGCAGCACCGTACGAGCAGCCGCAGCAGCAACCGCAAGAGTAGCAACAGCAGTAGCAGCAGCAACAGCTGCAGCAACAGCACTAGCGACAACCGCAGCAGCAACAGCAACAGCAGCAGCAGCAACAGCAGCAGCAGCAGCAGCAGCAACAGCAGCAGAAGGCTTGCCTGGCCCTGTCGAAGAGGTCTCTGACGTTTGCTTCGGACTCTCCAAACCACATCGTCAGCAACTCCGGCCCTTTCACCTGCAGCAGCAGCGCACAGAAACAAGCCTGGCTAGCTAGCTAGCTAGTTGGCCCGCTGGCGCGCCAGCTAGCTAGCTAGCTAGCTGGCTGGCTAGCTAGCTGGCTAGCTTGCTAGCTAGCTGGCCGTGAGCCCCTTCTCCGGGCAGCAGCCGTGCAGCAGCAGCAGCAGCAGACACTTTCTGTCAAAAGCAGCAAGCGACGTCAAGAGCAGCACCAACGGAGGTCAAAAGCAGCAGCAACAGAGGCCGGCAGCAGCAGCCAACCAGCAGCAGCAGCAGCAGCAGCAGCAGCAGCAGCAGCAGCAGCAGCGTACGGAAATGAAGTTGGCCTTGCACTCGTTGGCCACGGCCTTGGCCAGCAGCGTTTTGCCGCAGCCCGGAGGCCCATAAAACAAAACGCCCCGCGAGGGCTGCAGCCCGAACTGCCGGAACTTCTCTCCGTGCTCCACTGGGTACTGCACTGCAGCAGCAGCAGCAGCAGCAGCAGCAGCAGCAGCAGCAGCAGCGGTGGGGGGCGTGGCAAGGCTGCGGCGTAGTCCCTTTAGTTCGACGCGTTTTGCTGCGGCGTCTTCCGCCGCAGCCCCACACGGCCTCCATGCATGCACCCACGCATGCATGCACTGGCTGCATGCATGCATGCACGGGCTGCATGCACGCATGCACGGGCTGCATGCATGCATGCATGCATGCACGAATGCACGGGCTGCATGATTATGAGGGCTCCATGAATGCACGGGTTGCATGCACGCACGGGCTGCATGCATGCATGCATGCACGCTCGCATGCATGCATGCATGCATGCATGCATGCATGCATGCATGCATGCATGCATGCAAGTGGCGGACCTGTTTCTTTGAGTTCGCGTTTGACTTCCTCGAGCCCCCCGATGTCCCCCCAGCGCACATTGGGCACTTCTACATGTCTTTCTCGCAGCGCGCTGGGATTGACAGCAGCTAAGGCTGCCACGAAGTGCTGCTGCCCCACCTCCAGCCGCTGCAGCACCTGCAGCAGCAGCAGCAGCAGCAGCAGCAGCAGCAGCAGGGGGGGTGTCGCAGGCACGGGAAGCAAGAAGAATAAGCCCCAGAGGAGCGAACAAAGAATCAGCCAAAAGCCTTCGCAGCTGAAAGCTGCAGCAACAAAAACCGCTGCTGCTGCTGCTGCTGCTGCTGCTGCACCTGCAGCCACTGCTGCTGCAGCCACTGCTGGTGCTGCAACTGCAACTTCTGCTGCAACTGCAACTCCTGCACCTGCACCTACTGCAACTACACCTGCTGCAACTGCTGCTGCAGCAGCAGTTGCTGCTGCTGCTTCTGCTGCTGCCACAACTGCATCCACTGCAACTGCTGTTGCTGCTGCTGCTGCTGCTGCTGTCACAACTGCATCCACTGCAACTGCTGCTGCTGCTGCTGCTGCTGCTGCTGCTGCTGTCACAACTGCATCCACTGCAACTGCTGCTGCTGCTGCTGCTGCTGCTGTCACAACTGCATCCACTGCAACTGCTGCTGCTGCTGCCGCTGTCACAACTGCATCCACTGCAACTGCTGCTGCTGCTGCTGCTGCTGCTGTCACAACTGCATCCACTGCAACTGCTGCTGCTGCTGCTGCTGCTGCTGCTGCTGACCTGGGGGTCGACGGCGTCTTTGTCGAAGTCGATGTGCTGCAGCTGCTGGCGAAGACACAGCAGCGCAGCTTCGAGGCAGAGCTGCTCGAGGTCTGCGCCCACGAAGCCGTGGGCATCTGCTGCTAGCCGCTGCAGGTCCACATTTGCTGCTAAACGCATGCGCTGTGTCTTCTTCTTGAGGATTTCCAAACGGCCCGCAGCGTCCGGCACGGGCACTTCAATTTCCCGGTCAAAACGCCCAAACCTGCAGCAGCAGCAGCAGCAGCAGCAGCAGCAGCAGCAGCAGCAGCGGCGGCGGTGAGAGCGCTGGGACAAGGTGGGTGCAGCAGCAGAGAAGGCGCGCTAACAGCAGCAGCAGCAGATGCTGCAACCCGACTACCACAAACACAGGCAGCAGCAGCGGCAGCAGTAGCAGCAGCAGCAACAGCTGCGGCAGCAGCAGGCTGGGCCAGGACCAACGGACTCCCCTGCAGCAACTGCTGTTTTGGCAGCAGCAGCAGCAGCAGCAGCTGCAGCAGCAGCAGCAGCGCAGCAACAGCCTCACCGGCGGAGAGCGGGGTCCAGCTGGTTGGGCCGATTTGTTGCAGCTAAAACGACGACGTTCTTATTAGCTCCAATTCCGTCCATCAAAGTCAGCAGCTGCAGCAGCAGCAGCACAGCAGCAGCAGCAGCAGCAGCAGCAGCAGCAAGTGCATGCGCCAGAAGTCAAAGTCAAGAGGGCAATCGAAGCAAATGAAAATACAGCAGCAGCAGCGGGAGTTCTCGAAGATATAAAAATCAATCTAAGACAAAAGTGCAAGCAAATGCATGCATCAAAAGCAAAAAGCAAGAAATAAATAAACATAAATAAACAAATATATAAACTTAGACATAATAGAAGTTAATTGCGTAAATAAATATATGATGATGTGCACAAAAGTGCTTAAAAAGAAGCTGCATGCAAACACAAAAAGCCACAAGAAACAATTCAATCATTGTTTCGGGGAGACTTTAATTCTATTTGTGGAAATTTCGCATTTAAATATATTTGAATAAATAAAAACAAAAAAGACGTTTAGACGCATGCAGAGGATGTCCAGTGTACGTACACCTGAATCCACGTGTGGGGCCCGCGCATGCATGCACATGCCAGCCCCAAAAGGAAAGAAAATATTATTTTAAATGCATGCAAATGCAATTTCCACAAAGAGAGTCAATTGTGGTGTATGTACACCTCAGGAAACACTGGCGCATGCAAAGCTGGCCAAAAGACAGCCGGAGTCAGGAGAAACAAAAGAGAAATAAAATGAAACAAAAGAAAAAAGGAAAAATATCTTTAAAATAAAACAATTAGAGACATTTAACAGAGACTCAAAGCCCCAAACAAAGAGAAGGAAAAATAAACAAAAGAAAACCAAAATGACAAACAGATACACCACGACACTGCTTGCATGCATTTGCTGCATGCATGCACTTGCTGCATGTATTCACTCGCTGCCGCATGCAGCACTTGCTGCTGCATGCATTACTTGCTGCTGCATGCATTACTCGCTGCTGCATGCACTACTAGCTGCTGCATGCACCACTAGCTGCTGCATGCACCACTAGCTGCTGCATGCAAGACTTGCTGCTGCATGCACTACTCGCTGCTGCATGCAAGACTTGCTGCTGCATGCACTACTCGCTGCTGCATGCACCACTAGCTGCAGCATGCAAGACTTGCTGCTGCATGCAAGACCTGCTGCTGCATGCAAGACCTGCTGCTGCATGCACCACTAGTTGCTGCATGCACTACTCGCTGCTGCATGCAGCAGGTGGTGTGGGGTGTGGGGCGCGGGGTGTCTGTACACCTGGGCGACGAGCCGCTTTTCGAGTTCGCCGTGGGCCTTTTCGCGCTTGGCAGCAATTGAGTCAATTTCGTCAATGAAGAGAAGACAAGGAGACAAGTTTGCTGCTTCTTCGAAGACTCGCCGCAGGTTCGCCTCAGTCTCTCCAGCCATCCGCGACTGCATGCGCAACCCACACACCTCCTGCTGCTGCTGCTGCTGCTGCTGCTGCTGCTCATGCTGCAGCAGCAGCAGCAGCAGCGGCTGCTGCTGCTGCTAAGGCCGCGGCTGCTGCAGCCCGCGATGGCAAAACGCTACTGCAGCCCCAGCGCCGCCGACCCCGCTGCTGCTGCAGCCGCTGCGGCTGCTGCTGCTGCTGCTGCTGCTGCTGCTGCTGCTGCTGCTGCTGCTGACCATGATTTCTGGCCCGTTCACGACGAGGAAGTTGGCCCCACACTCCGTGGCCACTGCTTTTGCCAAAAGGGTTTTGCCAACTCCAGAAGCTCCGTGCAGCAAAACGCCGCGGGGGGTCGAAATGCCCATCTGCGGGACACACAAACCCTAAACCCTAAACCCTAAACCCTAAACCCTAAACCCTAGACCCTAGAAAGCTAGCTAGGGCCTAGCGACCGGGAGTCAAACCCAAGCCCTAAACCCTAAACAGCTAGGCTTTAGCTGGTGGGAACAAGGCCGCGATAGACCCCAAACCCTTGACTTTAACCCCAAACCCTAACCCAAACCCTAAACCCTAAACCCTAGGCCCTTCGGGTTTAGCCGTGGCGCGCAGACTTTTGACTATTTTGCAAAACTAAAAAGAAAAATAAATTCGACCCTGGAGCTGCCTCTAAAGGAATTGCTGCTAGACTCAAGCAGCAGCAAAAAGCTAGACAATTGCTGCAGGGCCCCATGCTGCTGCTGCAGCAGGCCCCCTTGCTGCTGCTGCTGCAGCAGGCCCTGCTGTCGCAGCCGCAGCGGCAGCTGCAGCAGCCTCAGCAGCCTCAGCAGCAGCCGCAGCAGCCTCAGTACCAGCAGCAGCGGCAGCCACAGCAGCAGCCTCAGCAGCAGCAGCCTCAGCAGCAGCAGCAGCAGCAGCAGCAGCAGCAGCAGCAGCAGCAGCAGCAGCAGCAGCAAACCTGTTTGAAGACGTTGGGGAAGCGAAGGGGCAGCTCGACGAATTCGCGCAGCAGCTGCACTTCGCGGCGAAGGCCCCCCACGTCGTCGTAGGTGACCTCGCTCGCAGAGTCAAATGTCTCTGCAGCAAACCCTAAACCCTAAACCCTAAACCCTAAACCCTAAACCCTAAACCCTAAACCCTAAACCCTAAACCCTAAAGCCTGAAGAATGAAGAGTAAAGAATGAAGTTTACACGCGAGGGGCCTGCGGGCCGAGGGGCGAAATTCGAGAACCCGAACGCTCAGACCGACACACGAAACCCTAAACCCTAAACCCTAAACCCTAAACCCTAAACCCCAAACCCTAAACCCTAAACCCTCAGCGGTGTGAGGGACGGCGCTGCTTCGAGGCAGAATGGCTGGACCCTTCAAGACTTTCTTTGGAAAGATTTTCTAAAACTTGAAAAACAAAAAAAGATTTTAAATAAAAAAGATTTAAAAAGACAAAAAGAGATCAAATAAGAAAAGTAAGGGACAAAAAGAGACAAAAAAGGACAAGAAGATATTTGAAGGGACACAAAGAGACAAAAAAGAAACAAAGAAATAAAAGAAATGTTTTAATTGAAAATAATTTAAAAGCAGATGATAAAAAGGAAAAAAAGAAAAAGAAAACAACAAAAGAGAGAGAAAAAAGAAATAAGACAAGACAGCAAGAGGAGAAAGTAAAAAAGGAAAAAAGTTAAAATAAAAAATCAAAGCATAAAAATAAAAAATGATAAAAAAAATAAAAGTAAAGGGAGAAGATTAAATGAGAGATTTAGAAGAATAAAAAAGGTAAAAGAATAAGAATAAAAAGACAATGAAAGAAACAAGAGAAGACAATTAAACGGATAAAAGAAACATTTAAAAAAAGAAAAGAAATAATTAAACAAAAAAAGATAAAAAGGAGATAAAAGAAACAAAAAAGAAGTTGAAAAGGACAAAAAAGGAAACACTGAAAAAGGAATGAAAGGGGGCAAAAAAAGAAGACAATTAAAAGAACAAAAAGGCAATTAAAAAAATAAAAAGACAACCAAAAGAACAAAAAGACAATCATAACAATAAAAAGAACAATTAAAAGACTAAAAAGGCCAACTAAAGTGCAAAAAGAAACAAAAAAAAATAAAAAAAGATAAAAAATAAATATTTAATTCCCAACTTCTTTACCTCTTTCTAGCCCTTCTTGTCCAGTATAAACTTCAGCTCCTTCTCCCACAAGAGCAAATTCCAAATCCTTATCAACATCTCCATCCAGTCTCATTATTTTAATTTCAATTTCCGGAACTGTACCCTCCTGGGGGCCCCCCGAAGGGTACAGGGGAATCTTGTACTGGTCGCCCACCCTCACTGGCCTCGCTCGAGACCTCAAGAAGTTGT